GGCGTCGCTCAAACTGTTTGGACCTCGAACAATGTCTGTCCATCGCGGCGCGGGCGTGCAGGCAAACGTGCGCGCCGCTCGGCGGCAGCGCGACGCAGCCAGAAAGGCAGGGGGGAGGGAAGGGAAGAGGCGGGAGCCGCCTCAGTGTGAGCTGAGTTGGAAGTTCTCTCTTCACGCGCTGTCGGCGTCAGGCTGACAGGAAACTGTGGAATCTCATCACGCGTCGCCGCCGTCTCCCTCGCGCCCTCCTCTCTCGTTCTCGTTCTCGTTCTCGTGCCGCCTCGCCGGCCACCGCCGCCCTTCTGGCGGGGGAGGGGCCGCGGCGCAAACTCTCGCACAACCGGACAGGGGCGTCGCGCGTGGCACCGACCGCAGGCCACCGGCCCAAGGGATGTTGCGCTTCCGGCCCGTTCGCTCGCTTCTCGGGGCGCCGATGCACCCGCGCGCCCAGTGCCGCGGGGCGGCGGGTCTCAAGGCGCGCCTTCGCCGGTCGCGGGGCTAGTGTCGTCGTTGCAAAGGCGCCTAATATCGTCTTGGGGCCGTTGACTATCTGATTTGTTCTAGCTTTTAACTTTCTTCCCTTTCTTGTTGTATGTTTGGTCCACAGCGGAACGGCAGCAAAGGGAAGAGAACCACTTTGTTTGGTTTCTGTGTGCAGGTGTGAGTGCAATTTTTTCGTGCGGGTGTGGCATGCTTGTGGGCGAGAGGCCGATTCACTGGCTCGCGTGCTTTTACATCACTTTGACAGTAGTTGGCTCCACGCGGCTCTCAACTGGGCGTGGAGGCGCTGGGCCTCGATCGGGCTGTTGACATTTGTGGGTTTTTGATTTTTATTTTTATCCTCTTCTTTTGTGTGTGGCCTCCGTTAATGTCACATGAGAAGCGACGCTGGGGGTGGCTTACATGGTGGTGTACATGCGGCACCGCGCCGCGCCCGGCCCCTCCGCGGGCGTCTACGTGGACTTGCGGGACTGCTGCTGCTGCCGCTGCTGCTGCAGGAGGAAGAGCGTGCGGGCGGTGGTGGACCGCACCGCGGGCACGAGCATCGGCGTGGTCTGCTGGTATAGGGCGTACGCCGGGTACTTTTCCCGCGACAGCCTCTCCGTGACGCGGGCGGTGGAGTACCTCAGCAGCAGCTGCAGCGTGGCGCAGCCCGCCCACTGCCACCAGACGAAGCCGCCGTGCACGAGAGCCGCCAGCGCAACGGCCACCCACACGCAGCCCTCGCAGAACACGTTGAGGTGGCGGCTGTGGCCAAATACGCCAGTGATGCAAAATCCTGGCGAGGCGGTTCGGCTTTGCTGGCCGTCGGCCGAGCCTCCTCTACGTCGAGCCTGCGCTGCGTGCTTGCCGCGCTGAAACCGTTGCTGCTGCTCGTCGCAGAGGGTTTCAAAGAAGATAAGCGCGAGGATGGCCGCCCCGACGAGGACGTCTTTGCCGCCAACGGCGACGGCGGGAATGTTCATGACGGGGAGGGTGATGCCCCACAGCAGCGCGGTTTGGAAGACGGCGATGGCGCTGAAGCTGAAGAGCTCCCAGAGAAGCGGGTTCCGCATGCAGCGCCAGCTGCGAATGTACGTCCAGCGGTGGTCTTGGTGGCCGCGCGAGTACCCGCCGCGGCGGGCGAAATTGAGCGTTAGGCGAGCCCCCCAGAGCGTGATGAGGGCACCGTACATGAGGGGCGCACTGTTCAGCGCGGCGTGGCCGGTGCCGGCGCGGAGCGTGTAGCCGATGTGGATCCACGCGTAGACCACAGGCATAATCGACCAGGAACGATCCACCCACGAGTAGTTGCGGTGCACGACGGAGGCGGCGTACATGACGAGGGCCACCACCAGCATGAGCGCCAGCGTTGCGTCGTAGGAGGAGGCGGGCAGCGAGTTCAGCGAGTCCCGCAGGAACGCAGCGGAATCGGATAGCAAGCGAGGATACATTGGCCCGTCGGCGGGGTGTCTTGCGTTAACTCGCTCCCTCTCTCTCTCTCCCTCTGTGTGTCTGTGTGTGCCTGTGTCTTGCCTCGGCGTTACCGCCTCCTCCGCACCCTGGAAGTTACCTCGCGGTTTTGCTTGCGCACCCTTCGCGCCACTGCGCAATTGAAGGCATGGCGGAGCGTAGCGGCGCCGACCGGCAAAAGGCAAAAACAAAGACGTAGAAACGCAGCAGGAAATAAAACACCAGCAGGGTGAGAAAGGAAAAAAAAAAAAACAGCAGCAGCAGCAGCGGCGGCCCAGCCACTGGACGCCAAACCACGAGCCAAGCAGGAAACAAGCGGTTAAAATAAACAATGTTCAAAGAAGCTACCTTAAAGGGCGTGAAACTCACACAGAAGCGTGCTGCTGTCGTACGCGTGTGTGAGTGTATCTCTGTGCGTGTGTGTGCGTGCGTGCGTCTCTGAGTTGTGGGGTCGCGGCACTTCCCTCCGCCGCGTTTTATTCACGTGGGCATCCAGAGTGTCCGCCGTGCCGCGACCGAGCGTTGCACTCCCGTGTAGCTCACGTCTACACCAGTCCCTATTTCTCTTTTGTTGTTGTTGCTGACGTTTTACGGCGCGTTGCTGTTCTACAACCCCCTCATCAAGTCCTTTGTAATGTTTTTCTGGTGCGCCTCGAGCGTGCCGCCGCCGATCTCAAGCAGCTTCGCGTCCCGCCAGAGCCGCTCCACCGGCATGTCGCGCGAGTACCCCATGCCGCCCATCACCTGCATCGCGTTGTCCGCCACACGCTTCGCGACGGGAGCGGCAAACAACTTGCAGGCGTCGCTGCCAAGGCGATTGTGCGACGTTGGCGACACGCTGCGGCTGACGGCGTACGTGAGTGCCTTGGCGGCCTCCGTGTCCGCGTAGCTCTCGGCGATGAGGCGCTGGATCTGGCCGTAGTTCCAGATCGGCTTCCCAAACGCCTGGCGCTCGCCGGCGTAGCGGACCATCAGCTCCACGCAGCGGTCTGCGATGCCGACGGCCATAGCGGCCAGCGTGAGGCGCTCGATCTCGAGGTTGCGCATCATCCCCACCACGCCCCTCCCCTCCGCCCCCAGCAGGTTCTCCTCGCCGAGCTCCACGTTGTCAAAGAAAAGCTGACACATCTGGGAGCTGCGCATGCCGCACTTGTCGATTTTTGCGCCGCAGGTGAACCCCGGCGTCCCCTTCTCCACCACGAAGGTCGTGATTTTCCCTGCCACCTTGGCGTAGAGGAGCACCACGTCGGCGACGGTGCCGTTCGTGATCCACGTCTTGGAGCCGTTCAGGACGTACCTCCCGTCGCCCGTCTTTTTGGCGGTGGTGGACATCCCCAGCACGTCGGTGCCCGCGCCCGGCTCCGACATGCACATGGCGCCGATATGCTCGCCGGAGAGCACCTTCGGCAGCCACCGCTCGCGCTGCGCGGGGGTGGCGGAGTTGTAGAAGTTGTTGACGAAGAGGACGGAGTGCGCCAGGTAGGCGAGGCAGAAGCCGGGGTCCGCCCTGGAGAGCTCGTGGTGCACGATGACGTAGGCGGAGGCGTCCATCCCCGCCCCGCCGGCCTCCTCCGGGACGGTCACGCCAAGCACGCCGAGCTCGCCCAGCTCGCGCATGAGGTCGCGGCTGAAGCGCATCTCGATGTCGCTCTGCCTCGCCAGGGGCTCGACCCGCTCCGTCGCGAACCGCGCAATCGTCTCCCGCAGCATCTTGTGCTCCGGGGTTGGGTTGAAGAGGAAGTCCATGGAGGCGGCGGAGGCAAAGCGGCGCGCCACCCCGGCCGCGGGGGACACGCCAGCCAGCCGCAGCTGCGAAAGGCGCCGTACGGAGAGCATTGCTTTTCTTTTCCTTTTATATTCTTTGTTGTTGTTTTTTTTGTTTTACGCGTCTACTTTAGCTTTTATCCGTCACTGTGAATGCGTATGATGTCCCCGACTAGGGAGAGAAGG